TACGTAGATGGTGACAGCCTCTGCCTCACAGAGTTGTAAGGATCAAATGAGGTCATGACTGTGACAGTGTCCAACACCTAGACATGCAACAAATGTCAGTAGAATATGAATCTAAGGCCTGTAAGTTATTTTTAATTCTCCATTCATTTGAATGCACGAAATGCATGGAGCATTGAATTTAATATTTTCTTACACTGTGGACGTAGGTCAGTGTACCTATGTATGTGAATATGTATTCCTAACGATGCCATTTTGATTTTTTATTTTTTTAGTTTTTTGCTTTTTAGATCTTTTCAAACTATGTACACGGCCCAAAAATATGCCATGATGCAGTCATTGTAGCATCTCTCCCACCCTCCTGTCCTTATTTTCCTTGTGCTAGACCTTTGGAAGCCTGCTTAGATCTCATCAAGGCTAATGAATATCCCTACATGAGGTTTTCTTCCAAAGGAAAAGTTCATACTATTTTTATAGTCCTGTTTTAGGCCCAGATCAGAAAGCATTGAGGTTAATGCCATACTGTCAAGTAAAATCTGTGAAAGGCAGATCTTTTCACAAACAATAATGATATGAATCACTGAGTGATTTGTGTACTTTGTCAGTGATGTTACAACAAACTGTTAAATAGGTGGTGGTATGCAGTTTTACAGATAAGGAAACTGAGGCTCGGAAGAACAAATATATTCCTCAAGGTCAGAGAGAAAACCAGAAGCCAAATGCAGGGTGGTCTGACAAAAAATGAGGTATAAGGCTGCTGCCCGGGGTAAGTCAAGGGAATATGTTTTCAGGTGAAAGTTAAAAATATCGTGGGGCTAGGGCCAGTGGATGGCATGGTGGTTAATGCTCTGGACTCCCACATGGCTTCTATGGTTTAAGTCCTAGACCTGGTGGCTTGCTTTCTCACTTTCCTTCTTTCTCTCTCTCTCTGTCCATCTCTGTTGAGCACATGAGCCCTATAGTAAAATTTAAAATAATAATAATAATAATGAATAAAAATTAAATAATTCTTACGGAAAAATATAAATACATTGGGAGCATTTCTGGGCTTGGAGGAAGCAGAAGCTTTCAGGACAGTCAGACAGTACATCTGTCCTCAGGAGGTTGTCACTGATCCAGCCTAGGCCCAGCTGCAAGGCCTTGGTATCCTCTGGCTTGCTTTTCCTTCAGCCTGTTTTCCTGCTATCATGTGATTTCTCCAGATGTTTCTCCAGGCATTGCTCATCACATAGAACTATGCGTTCAACTCTTCTTCCCAAACCCAGTTTTGCTGCCTCCCCCACAGAAATATGGTGGGGCTTAAATGAGTTACTGTGTATTAAGGGTTTAGTACAACATCTGGTACAAAGTAATTATCCAAAAGATAAAAACATTTATTTATATATTTTCATTTTATTTTTTGATACAGGGCACATGCACTTGCCAGAGAGAAAAAAAGAAAGAAAGAAAAAGAGAGAACCACTCCTTGGAGAGGTTGGGGGAGGCCATGCCTTAATCCCTTCTCTTCTAGTCTCCTTTTAGGATTTTTGGGCACACATGCACATGCGCCCATCTGGTATTATTTTCAAGCTGCCAGGTCCAGGACTTGAACCATATAGCCAGCCATCTGGGATCTAGTACCTTAACCTTCATGCTACCTGCTGGTCCCTAAAATATTTCTTTTTATATTTATTTATTTCATTTAAAAATTTTGCTGTACATGTGCTCACTGGAGAGATGGGGGAGTGAGAAAGTAACTCCCCAGGAACTGCCACACTGCAATCCTTGCTCTTCCATTTTCTTGGAATTTGGAGCATGCCCATACATGTTCCTGGTGTGTTTTTCAAGCTGTTGTGTCTAGGATTTGAATCATACAGTCAGTCCTGTGGTATCCAGCCACCTTAACCACCACCCATCTGGCTTACTCTTTATCTTTATTGTTAATCTGTTTGTGAAGTTGATGGTGGTTGTGATGGTAGTGGCAATGCGAGTGGTGGTAGCAATAGTTGTCAATTCAGAGGCTTTGTAACACCTTCCACAGGGACTCGACTGGTCTCTGCCCAGGTTCTAGCTTTGTGTGCAGTTCACTGTCTGAGTCCAGGCTCAGGAATCCTCACTCAGATGCACAGGACAGATGGGGGAAGAATTACCGAGGAAATGTTTGTACCCAAAGGTTGCCAGAAACAATTCCCTCTATTCTCTACCTCCTTGTTATCAGCCATAGAAACAGTCCCTGAATTCTACTTCTAACCATACCTTTTCACCTGGCTTCTTTTCTATCCTTTTATCTATGTAGAATATTATATTTGAAGTCATTTGCAGTCATTTTTTTTAGGTGGGCTGCTTGAAATTTATATCTGACCATCGTGCCGGGTTCCTTGTCCCTTTGCTCCATTGAAATAGTCAACGCTACTTCATCCGCAAGGACCTCTCTGATACTTCCTTCTCCTTTTCTTTTTTTTCCTTAATCTTTTTTCCATTTATTTATTTGCTTATTTTTAGTTTTAGTTTTTTGTTCATTTATTTCTAATTTTTGCCAGAGGGAATGTGTACTTGCTGGAGAAAGTGAGAGGGAGAGAAAGCACACACACACACACACACACACACACACACACACACCCGTGGGGTATAGTCATGCTGTAATCCCTTTTCCGCCATCTTTCCTTCCTTTCAGGATTTTGCGCACACACATACATGTACCTCGCGTGTTTTGCAGGCTGCTAGGTCTAGGACTCAAGCCATGTAGTCGGCTTTGTGGGATCCAGCAGCCTTAACCGCCAGGTCATAGGCTGGCCATTGTTCGTATGTTTGTTTTACTAGAGGACACCTGTGCTTGCCAGAGAGCGAGCGAGAGAGAAGGGGATAAAGAGAGAAAGCACCCTCAGCCGGGCAGAGTCACTGAGTTCCTTTTTCCTCCATTCCTCCTTCCTGTCAGAATTTTGGGCATATATGCCCATGTGCCAACTCTGTTTTTCAGGCTGGAGCTGGGATTTAACCACAGTTGGCCATGTGGGATCTGGCTCCCAATGCATAGCAGCACAGCGTTTAACCACTGTACCATCGTGAGGGCCCATTAATCTTGTGTGTGTTATCCCTTCCTATTGTCCGTTTCACATATGTATTGACTTTACTTTTTTTGCTTTTGAATTTGCTCACCAAATTTATATTTGGTTGTATTTCTGTTTCAGATTCTAATTGTATTTTGCGTAGCGACAGTTTAACACTGGGAAAGGCCATTAAGGATATATGATTTTATAAAACTTGCCACTGACTCATTAATTTGGACCTTAGGCTGAAGATTCTTTAATTCTTACCTTATATGAAAGCATTTCTTATTGTACTTCTACCTCAATCCATAATATTGCCCCTAGTTTATATCAGGAGTATTTGAGCCATAGCTCCTCCTTGGGCAAATGATAGCATCTGCACTCTTTATTACCTCTTTGCTGGACTCCCTCCCATGTAGATGACTGTGGTTCAAGTCCTGGACCCGGTGACTTAAACTCACGCCGGGCACCTGTGCATGTGTGCCCAAGATCCCAAGAGGAGAGTAGAGGAGAAGGGATTGCGACGTGGCCATCCTTCCGGGGTGGGTGATTTCTCACTTTTTGTCTCTCTGTCTCTCTCTGTCTTTTTGGCGAGAGCACACACTCTATAACAAAAACCTCTCCAAATAATAAATAAATAAATAAGTAAAACGTATAGAATACAGGGACCAGCAGGTGGAGTGGTGGTTAAGGCACTGGACATTCCCACATGGCCAACCATGGTTCAAGTCCTGGATCTGGTGGCTTGCTTTCTCACTTTCTCTCTTTCTCTGTGTCTCTCTCTGGTTAAAATAAAATAAGTAAATGAATAAATTAAAAATTAAAAATAAATTATTCTAAAAAAAGGGTATAGAATACAGAGGGGATAATTCAGGATTTAGATTCAGGGATTATTTTATTTATCTGTAATGGACTTTTTAAATAAACAGTATTTCAATTATAACAATTTTAAAATAATTTGCATTCTTTCTATAAGGTGAGAACTCTGAAAAATAAGAGAAAGAAAAATTAAAATCACTTCACTCTAACATCCAGAAATTACTATGGTTGGAATGATGGCGTATTTCTCTTTAGTCTCCATTCAATTTTATTTATTCCGTTTTTATAGTTGTATATTTATTAACTAAAATGAATAATTATGTATAAATTATAATTTATGTTATGTAGTTGCTTGGGAATATTCCAGTAATTGTTTTGGTACAAGTATGACAAAGCAAGAAAACTAAAATTAATTATTTTAAGAAAACTAAAATAGGTGACTTGTGATTATAAAAATCTATACGTGGGATCCTGCTGCTGAACTTTGGGGACAAATAATCGAGGCCTGCTGGGAACAGGACTTCTAAAAGGCAACTATGTCTGGAAGGCTGTGGTCCAAGGCCATTTTTCTGGCTATAAGCGGGGTCTCAGGAACCACAGGGAGCACACAGTTCTTAAAATTGAAGGTGTTTATGCATGAGATGAAACGGAATTCTGTTGAGGCAAGAGATGTGCTTATGTGTACAAAGCCAAAAACAACACGGTGACTCCTGGTGGCAAACCTAATAAAACCAGAGTAATCTGGGGAAAGGTTACCCATGCCCATGGAAACAGTGGCGTGGTTCGAGCCAAAATCTGAAGCAACCTTCCTGCTAAGGCCATTGGACACAGAACCTGTGTGATGCTGTACCCCTCAAGGATTTAAAATAATGAAAAGTAAATGAATAAAAGTGAAAAAACTCTGCATGTGAGCATTACAAAAATTTAAGTATTAGAAAAATAGATCATGGAAATTGAGAATCCTACAATTCCCCATTCCTACTGTTAGTCATATATTTATAAATATTTTTAAGTAATTCATTTGTAGTTAGATTTGTGAAATGTTTATTGTGAAGGAGTATGAAATAGATGTTCTTCGCTTTTAGGCCTAGTCACATATGCAGTGATCTAGAATGTGTTTTGCAAAATAATATTTCAGTTTTTTTTTCCATGCTTTAGGTATGTATTCTTTTTGGATCCATGTAATCTGGACTTGATAAACCGGAAGATCAAGTCTGTAGCACTGTGCGTAGCAGCATGTCCAAGACAAGAACTGAAAACCCTGAGTGATGTTCAGAAGTTTGCAGAGATAAATGGTGAGACACTAGGCTCCCAAATCAATGCTCCAGTCACCTACCTTCCTGGGCCCTTCCTAGGAAAGTTCTGGCCGAGGTGGTCTTTGGGCTCTGGAAATTTATACTTTCTATAAATGTCTCAGGTGATTTTGGTGTAGTCTACTGAGTATTTGGAAATTACTAGACTACTCTCTATAAATTTTATCTTTTTCTCTTCCTCTTCCCACGTGTTGATTAAAACTATTTCAATTAGTATATGCAAGGAGACTTCAAAAAGTTACGGAAAAATGGAATTAAAGTACAAGTTTCTTTTGGTGCAGAAAAGTTTGGGAATCCATGCCTAGTTTCTTAATAATGTATTTTTCATGAACTTTCTGAAGACCTCTTCTTTCTATAGTCTTTACCCCTAATTAACAATGTCACAGATGTATATGATAAGAAATATGAAAAGTTCAGAAAAAGTACAAAGTAGAAATAAAAATTTCACCCTCAGTTATTTTTTGATGTGTTGGTGTGTGTATAATTTGGTGTTTTTCTTTCTAAATTTAGCATTATGTCATAGCTATTTTCCTAGAAAAAATTTGAGAAGCGTTGTGGTTAAATAATATGTGAATTAGCAGAGAAAACCAACATAGTCAGTTTCCTGAATCTAGGTCCCTTTTCTTAGGTTTCTTATCTCGAGATGCTGCTACCTTTAGCTCTAAGTGGCTTGCCTAAGTTTTATTCGGAGATATATTTATTTATTTTAGTTCCACTATAGTGCATGTGCTGGAGCAAGAGAAAGAGAAGGGAAGTGAGAAATCCCCCCCGCCCCCCCCCCCAAGGGGTGCTGCAATCCCTTCTCAACTCTCCTCTTGGGACTCTGGGCATGCCTACACATTCAGTGTGTTTTTCAAGCTGCCGAGTCCAGGACTTGAACTGTGCAGTTGGCTATGTGGGATGCAGTACTGTAACCTCCATGCCACCTGGCTGGCCTCAGAGAGTTTTTTTTTTAAAGCACTCTTTGTGGAGAACCACATCCTGATGGCCCCTCATGTCCATGTTTTTTTGTTGTTGTTGTTGGGTTTTTTTTGTTTTTTTTTTTGGAGAGGTTTTCGCTATAGGGCACATGTGCTCAGCAGACAGACAGAGAGAGACAGAGAGACAGAAAGCGAGAAATTAGCCCCCAGGGGGGATGGCCACGCCGCAATCCCTTCTCCTCCATTCTCCTCTCGGGATCTTGGGCACGCACGTACATGCACCCGGCGTGAGTCTCAAGCCACCGGGTCCAGGACACGAACCACGGTTGACTACGTGGGAGTCCAGCGACATAGCCATTACGCTAACTGCTGGTTCCTATGTCCATGTTTTTGAACTTATTTGAGGTTTCATCTTTATATTTTGTAAGAATCCTCAAAGCTGCCTCAGTCTCGCCCAGCTCCACAGGCTAGTTCTGGTTCCTTGAAACAAGACTGACTCAGTATTCTGGTATAACTTCTTGCTGGATGGAGAGGCAGCTTGAGACCCTAGTTCTGCACATATTATCAGAGCTAGAGTCTTTCACATGGAAGTGCTAGCCTTCTAGACTGGTAGTATCACTGACCCACTGTGCCAATGCCCATAACATAACACAGTGGAAAAAGCGTGGAATTGATTTGGCTCTGGGTTCAGATTCTGATGTTATTGTTGACTGGCTGCTCTATCACAAGGAGCAAGACATATAGATTCTCTGAGCCTAAATTTCTTTATCTGAAAAGTGTGGATTAAAAATAATACCTTCTTGGGGCCCACAGGTGGTGTAGCAATTACACTGCAGGACTCCCACATGATTGACCATGGTTTGAATTCCAGACCTGGTGACTTGAAAATCACTCAGGAACCAGCAGTTAGTGTAATGGCTATGTTGCTGAACTCCCATGTAGCCAACCGCTGTTCGAGTCCCAAGCCCAGCGGCTTAAACTCACTCCGGGTGCTCGTGTGTGCGTGCCCAAGATCCCGAGAGGAAAATGGAGGAGAAGGGATTGCGGTGTGGCCATCCCCCCTGGGGGGTGATTTCTCGCTTTCTGTCTGTCTCTCTGGTGAGCGCACACGCCCTATAGCAAAAAAAAAAAAAAAAGAGAGAGAGAAAGAAAGAAAATCACTCTGGGCATGTGTGTGCCTGCCCAAGACCCCAGGAGAAGAATGGAGGAGAAGAGATTTTAGCTTGGCCATCCCCCCAAAGGGTGATTTCTCTCTCTCTGTCTCACCGTCTCTGTCTATCTATCTACCTCCCCACCCCCCACAAACACACATGCCCTAAAGCAAAAAACCTCTAAAAAGAAAAAAGTAATAATACCTACCATAGAGATTGTTACGGATTAAATGAGATGATGCATGAAGAATATATAGAGCACTTGGTAGGTCCTAAGATATCATTTTTTAAAAAGTTTATTTCTTCCATGAGAATAAAGTCAGTGAAAGAGAGAGATGGAAAGGTAGCACCCATCACAAGGTCTTGATGCTGTGATTCAACCCTGGCTTCAGCCAGCCCCAGATCATGGGCTCGCCTATGCTCGGCGTACTCAGAGAAGCCCTGGACTTTTTTATTCTCCTTTCTTTCTTTTTTTTTTTTTTTTAAGAATTATTTTATTTCACTTTATTTATTTAAATTTGACCAGAGAGGGGCAGAGGGAGAGAAAGAGAGAGGCAAAGCGAGAAAACAAGCTGCCAGGTCTGGGACTCAAACCTCAGTTGACCATGTGGGAGTCCAGCGCCTACCCTTAACCACCATGTCACCTGCCCCCAATTTAGAAAAAAAAAAATGTATCTCTTAAATGTATTTATTTTATTTGACCAGACAGAGACAGAGAGAGAGAGGGAAAGTGAGAAAGCAAGCTGCCAGATCTGGAACTTGAACCGTGGTCAGCCATGTGGGAGTCTTGCAGCTTTACCACCATGTCACCTGCTAGCCCCTCCCTTTTATCTTTTAAAGAAGGCTTCTCATGTGAGTCAGTCTCACCAAACATCACATTCACCTCTGCAGCCCCAAGATCTTATTTTCTCTCCTCACGTGATAGCCCCACATGTGTTGGCTTACTGAGCCTTATGCCAGGACTTTCTGCCTTGTTACCAGATTTCTCAGGGCAGGGTGAGTTACTCCTTAAGGGTTATTCCAGAACATTATTTTAGACAATGTGAGTATAAATAATGTACTCTGATAGGTGGGGTAGAGTAGTTAAGAGTGTTAGTCTGTGGTGACCAGCAGGTGGTGTGATGGTTGGGGTGTTGGACACTGCCCCATGGTCAACCACAGTTCAAGTCCTGGACCTGGTGGCTTGCTTTCTCACTTTCCCTTTCTCTTTCTCTGTCTCTCTCTGGTCAAATTGAAACAAATGGATGATAAAATGAAATGAAATAAATCATTCTTTAAAAAAAAAAAAGTGTAGGCTCTGGACTCAGATAATTTAGGTTTAAATGCTGCTTCTCCCATTTAATAGCTGTGAGACCCTGGGCAAGTTACTTGACCTCTTCATGCTTCCATTTTTCCATCTATGAAATAGGGAAGTACTGTATCTAACATATCTCATAGGATTGTCATGTTGCTGTTATCTTCCTGCCTCCAGTCTCTCTCTGCTTCTAGTTCCTTTATATACTGCTGCCATATTAATATTCCTAGAGCTTCTTTCAGTGCTAATCCCTTGGTCATAAATAATCAGTGGGAAAAATAAATAAAAGTCTGTATGTCTTGTCATTCAAAGCCACAATCTAGTCTTGAACTGTCTTCCTCTTGAACCTACTAAAGATGTATCTTAGTCACTTGAACTGGAGCTGTCAGGAGGGCCAGAAGAGAGCTAGTGCCTTGACCGCTATGTGGCCTGCTGTGATTATCCCTTGAGAATGGGCTGCCCCGCTGGTGTGCACTGTTTCTAAACCAGTATACTTTCAAGTGAATGTGATTCTAAGTGTGGCCTCTTCAGGTCTAGGTAAGAAAACCTTCTTGGTAAGTGTTGCAGCTTTGCAGATTTCACAGTGTCTTACACAAAGGTGTTCAGGAATTATTAGTGAATAATATTTCAAAAAGCCGACTTCTTAAATTGGCACCTAGCTGTATATAAATTCTTAAGTTTGAGTCAGGACCAGCAGATGGCATAATTAATACGTGGCTGGACTCCCATGTAGTCTGCATGGTTTGAGTCATGAACCTGGTGGCTTAAAACTCAACACTGGGCGCTGTGCATGCATGCCCAAAATCCTGAGGGGTGATTAGAGGAGAAGGGATTACAAAATTGTGGCTATCCCCCCCCCCGGGGGGGGTGATTGCTCACTTTCTGTCTCTCTGTCTCTCTGTGGCTTTGGCAAGTGCACATACCCTTTAGCAAAAATCTCTCTCTCAAAAAAAAAAAAAATAGAAGTCAGCTATATGTAAAATAAGTCAATAAGTTTATAATAAAAAATGATAGTATTAAGAAACACAATAATGGGGTCCAGCAGATGGCACAATGGTTACGTTGCTGGACTCCCACATAGTTGACTATGTTTCAAGTCCTGGACCCGGCAGCTTAAACTCAGCTGGGCTCGTGTGCATGCCCAGGATCCCTAGAGGAGAATGGTGGAGAAGGGATTGTGGTATGGACATAACCTTTTGGGGAGGGGGGTTAAGTTTTTGCTTTCTGTCTCTCTGGCAAGCACATGCACCCTATAGCAAAAATCTCTGTTGAGAAAAAAAAAAAACAAAAAAAAAAAACCACAATAATGGAGGATGAAGAAGACAATAATTTTAAAAGGCAAATAGAAAAGCTGTAAAATTACAGTAGAGAGGGGGGCCTTTGATATAGGGCTCCAACTTACTTATTTAGTAGCAACTGTAAGTTGGAATTTCTCAAAAGAACCTGCGTTGTTCTTTGCCGTGGTAGCTTAAAACTGGACTTGGTGATTCTTATATTTCACTTATCCCTGGCAGAAATTTTCTCTGCTTGTTATATTACTTTTTTCTCTTTTATTTTTTGAAATTATCCTTTCCATCATTTGAAATGCAAATTGACGCAATAGGATCAGATCATTGT